GGACCCGGCGTTGCCCGGGTTATTAGAGAAAGTGGGTAATGGGGGTTCTGTGTGCCAAGTTTGGTCTTCATCAGTCATTGGATGAGGGTCTCAGTAGTTTCACTAAGTGAGTGAAGGAACTGCAAGTCCCATCGTCCATGGTGCATCATCCTCCAAACCGCACCAGGATGTAGAGTGCATCATGGAGACCCGGTGCACCAGTGCACCAGGATGTAGAGTGGGTCATGGAGACTCTGTGTGCCAAGTTTGGTCTTGATCAGTCATTGGCAAGGTCTCAGTGGTCTCAGGAAGTGAGTGAAGTGACTGCAAGTCCCATCATCCATTGTCAAATTCTTCCAAACCGCACCAGGATGTAGAGTGGGTTATGCGGGTTCTCTGTTTAAATTGTGGTCCTGATCCATCATTGTTGGCAGTTATAATGGTTTTAGGAAGGGAGTGCAGGTATTGCAAGTCCCATCGTCCATGGTGCATTGTCCTCCAAGCCGCACCAGGATGTAGAGTGCGTCATGGAGACTCAGTGTGCCAAGTTTGGTCTTTATCGGTAATTGGATGAGGGTTGCAGTGGTCTCAAGAATTGAGCAAAGGTACTGCAAGTCCCATAATCCATGGTCCATTCTCGGTCAAACCACACCAGGACGTAAAGTGGGTCATGAGAGGTCTATGTGCGAAGTTTGGTCCTGATTAGTCATTGGATGAGGTTAACAGCGGTCTCAGAATGTGAGTGGTGGTACTGCAAGTCCCATCGTCCATGGTTCATCGTCCTCCAAACTGCAGTAGGTTGTAGAGTGGGTGATGGGGGCTCTGTGTGCCAGTTTCGGTCTGTATTGGTAGTGTTCTGACCCAGCCCTTTTTTGGCCTTTTCCTTTTCTGTCATCTCGGAATCTTGGATTTGAGGCTGGCCAATCAGAGACCATATGCAAATTTCCTTCTGTCATGTCCCCGTTTCTGTCATGAACCCTCTTCTCCACCAGGGGCTCCTGTTGAAGCTGCCCAATCAGAGACCATATGCAAATAGCACCACAGTGGCAGCCAATCAGAAAGCTGCCACATACACTTCCGCCCTCCACACTTCCTCTGTCCTTCCCATACAAACAAACACTTCTTTATTATATATATAGATATAGATATAGATAGATATAGATATAGATATAGATACATAATTTTCTTTTTTATATCAAAATGTTTTAACTGTTTATTAACGTTAATTTAGTGGTGGGTAGGCTGCTTCTAATCCTTCCAATGTAAAAGAAATGCTTTTTGAAAAGAACAGAGAATATATCGTATGTACACTCTTTCAAAGGTGCAGTGATGAGGACTATTAATAAAAGATTGGGATGAAGGGAGTCAGTAGTCAGGCTTTAGTATGTGGTGAGCTCAATGTACTATTCATGCTTTAATGACCTATTTGTGGTTTTCAACAGAAAGTAATGACCACTAAGAGGAGCTAAAAGGCCCGGGGAGATACCTGAACAATGAAGAATAGAAAAACCTATAAATACTATAACAGCTTGTAGCTTTCTTCTGTCTGTTACATACATTGTATTTAGCACTGTGTCAGTTTGCATTGAGGCAGAAAGGCAGACTAATAATTTAAATCCGGGGCTGTCATCATGACCCTGGAATTATGCACACTCTTGCAAGAATATTACTGCTTTCTTCGTAGTTAGTGGCTGTTTGTGCATATGTTAACTAAGTTCACTGCTTAATTGTATCTGAAATCAGCCTAAATCAGTCTAGATCAGTGTAAAACTAAACTAAAAGTGAACAATTATTAGAATTCATTACGCTTAATACATGCCAGCATATACTTGTCCATAATCAATTAGGAAAGAGCAAGAGATCTGTATAGAAGAGGCACTTGATTCTACAACCTAGTCCCATTCCTTTACCACAGTTTAGGAATTGGATGCATTGCATCTGAGTGTTGCAGCCTAGAGTGTTTTCTTGTGTCCCACAATAGATGTTCTCTGAAGATGGGGGAGAGGGAGTAAGCTTCCCTAAGTTCCGTCGGTGAGATGGTGGCGGGGTATAAGAACAAAGTTGTTATTATTATTATTTCAAGTGTATCTTCCTTGAAGTTTTACTTAACCATCACACTAATTGCTGAGCAGTGGGGGAAGGGAGCTATAATATTAATAATACTAATAATAAAACTTTATTTGTATTCCGCTCTATCTCCCCGGAGGGACTCAGGGTGGATTCCAAATATAAAAGGCAAACATTCAGTGCCTGAATACAACAACAATATACCCATACTAACAAAATTTAACAACCCAACATATAAACATGAATTATGACTTAACAACTAAATTTAAATTAAAAACACAGCCTGTTATAACAGACATAAGACAAAAAAACCCCAAGCATCAAGCAGAAGCAACAATTTTCCAGTTGCTTGAAGCAAATAGATTGATCATTGCTCAAGATATTGATCATTGCTCAAGATATCTATTGAGATGGTGGGGAGAGCAGGGCACAGATATGGATAGTAGCTATTAATTAGAGGTATAATGGTAGTATTACTAACTACTTCTCCTTCTCGTAAACTAGTGAGCAATCATACGTCTTCAGTTGTTTCTTGAAAGCGGGAGGGAGGGAGGGGGGCCATCTTTAACTCCTTAGGAAGGAGTTCCAGAGGTGGGGGGGGGGCAACCATGGAGAAGCCCCTTTATCTCATTCTCACCAGCTGTGCTTGGGATGGGGGTGGGACTGAGAGGAGGGCCTCCTCCGATGACCTCAGTGTCCATGTTGGTCTATAGTGGGAGATGCGATTTGTCAAATAGTCTGGACTCGAGCCGTTTAAAGCTTTAAAGGTAAGAACCAGCACTCTGTATTTAGCTCAGAAGCAGACTGGCAGCTAGTGGAGCTGCTGCAGTATGGGAGTGGTTCTCCATAGAGTCCTCCTTTCCCTCCTGCCCAGCTGTTTACCTACGATCCCAGCAGCTTGTGGAGCATCCAATGAAATCTACAGGAGAATCAAGAGTTATGTCACAAGATGCTCAGAAGATAGTCTGTTTATTAGTTGAAGATCTTACAATAATACAATAATCATAGAATAATCTTGATATGCTTTAACCCATGCGTATGCTCTGAAGGCTTTGTTTAGTGAGCTATATAAATTCATAAAAGAGCCAGCCAGCATGACTTACCTGTTTGAGCATTGGATTTTGAGTCTGGAGACCAGGATACTAATCCATATTGAGTTTTCGGGTCCTGCTGGGTGACCTTGGGCAAGTAACTGAGGAAGGCAAAGGCAAACCCCTCTGAACAAATCTGTAAAAGAAAACCTCTAAAAACCCTGTAATAAGTTCGCCTTGGGCCAGTCATCGTAAATGGGAAAGACTTGAAGTCATGGAACAACAGAATCATGAAAGGGCAGCACATAAATTGCTAACATGTTACATTAAATCATTACTGTTTTTAATATATTGCCTATAGCCTCTAGTACCCAATTTAGAAATGATAATTCAGCAAGGAACTTTTATGGCTAGAATTAAAACATGTGAACCAAAGGCTAAAGGTCTCCTCATTTAACCCTCTCAAAACCAAAGATTTTAATCTATAATCTGGGCACCTTCTTGTCAATAATGTTACTTGTCTATTGACCAAAATCTTTGTTTGTTTTGGATTGGATTGATATTAGATGTAGCATACCATGGGAGCAGCATTTTGTAGTTCCTTTTATTACATTACCTCCTATATGTTTCTAAAGAGACCTGAATCTCATCCTCAAAAAACATTTTAACATTTGTATTCTGACATAAATAACAAAACAGTTGCTGCAAGTAAAGTGATGTAAAATACAGCATGTATTTTTTGGTTTGCCTGGTCCATGAATAGGATCATCTTGGAAGTGTAACCACAATAGATCCAATGTCCACAGGGAGACCCATATATCCATTCCATAGAATTGGAGTTTCCCCATCTCTGAAGTGCAATTAATCAGGGCATATGTGGCCTTCTGGGGCTATTATATCTTACCCGAAAGACACCCACTCACATTTGCCATTGCCCCTTTCAATCTCTTGTCTCATGTTCTCTTATTTTCTCATGTACACATCTTCTTAAAAATTGCATTGGCAATTTTGAGTTGAAGGGCCAAGTAGAGAATCCTGAAATAATATTGCTATCAGAGATAAGAAGGTAGATAAAAGAGGTGGAAGGGGGAAAAAAACCAGGAATATAATTTGAATGTGACAATTCAGTTGCAGATCACTGTCTTTAACTTTATATTGCCTTGTTGGTAGATGCTAGTCTCTCTCTGATGTATGTGTGAAGTGACAAGTTACCACTGGCACTTTGGCATCTGCAGCAACACATGACTTGTCATGTCACATTGGTTAAATTTGCCATATCTTAGGAATATTATATATGCACATTAAATATGTATTAGAGTGTGAGCATTAAATATAGATTACAGAGCAAAAGAAAATATATGGGCACAACCTTTTACAGGTTCAATAGGAAAAGGTTTTGAGGTTAGCATTCAACATCTTTGATATAATTTTTGAATGAATTGACTAGTTTGGATCCTACAATATTAAAACATTGAATAATATATTTGTGTATTAAACCATCATAGGCAACCGATTTTGCCAGGTCTGGGGGCAAATACAATAAATTAATATATTATATTTTAATAGGAATATTGTGTATACATTTACTACTTTAAAAAGTTTGCTTCAAGTTGGATAAAATATCTACAAAAATAATGAAATTGTTCTCTTTTATAATTTCCTTGAATTCGTGTTGGCTTTGCACTTGGAGTTAGATGGGTGGGGATGGTGAAATGCAACAAATTGGGTCTGTATGTGGGATTAGAGGTAGAATTTATAGAGGCTATGTGTTGGAAGAGATATGAAATTCTAGAATAGTGAACGTTTCAGAGTATCTGCACAGTGTCTGTGGTGTGACTTTTTGTCAGTGTAAACCTTTTATAGTGTACATTTTTAGAATGGGTGTATCGATTAACAACTTTTAAAATAAATTTTGTCTTTCAGCTTCTCTCTTGAAAGGTCTAAAACATGCTAACATTGTGCTGCTTCATGATATCATTCACACAAAAGAGACATTGACACTGGTATTTGAGTTTGTGGTAAGTAAACATTATGTTAATGTTCTGTGATCTAAGCCATATAACAGAATGGCTGCTATTGGAGAAAGTAGATCTGGATAATTCACACTATAATTTCTAAGGACCTCATCCCACTAGCAGGGGGAAAGTGGGGAAAAGTGGGAGGAACTGTCTTACTTTCTTCCCTACCATCGAGGTCTGTCTTCTGGGATGGTCAGCCATCCCACTTCCTTTCTCTTCCTGTCTTTCGCTATTTGGAGTTGGCGAAAAACAGAACTGAAAATGCATTCTGGGTCTCTTTCCATGTGCTGCAGAAACTGAGTCCCATGGAGTCCCACTTGAAGTGCCCTTACATCATGTGATGGCTTCCTTTGAACTTCATTTCAAAATGCATGGAAACAGAACCCAGGGTACATGGGATGAGGTCCCCATTGCTCAGTGCAACAATTCCATTAGGTCTTGCCACTAAAGGTTTCTTTGCCATTTTGTGATCAATATCATGATTACAGACTTATTTTATTGGAGTGCTGTTAGTTCATAGCTATTTTCAGGCTTACAGAGGCGGGAACCAGCAGCATATAAGTCTCCTTAAGTGTCTTTCTTTGCACTTGGTAGTTTGTGTTTTAATAGGCAGTGTCAGAACAAAAAATGCATGACTTTAATTTGTACTCCGTTCCTTCTATTCCCTGCTATGGATTTCAGCTATTAATTAAAACTTCAGTTTGCACAGTACACATTGTAATGATCTAATTTGGTTCAGAAAAATACTTTGTGAAATCTTTGGTTTGAACTCCTAATTAGTCCTCCTACATTTTCTTAAGACAAACATATGGTATTTGTGTAAAAGTGCTTCAGAATTGAACTGCATTATTTTGTAATGTGAAATAATAATTGATCCTATTCCCAGCTTCTACAGATGAAGTTGAAAATATTACAATGTATAAGAAGCAAATTACTCTCAAATAAGCTTAATATTTACATAGGATGTGTTTTAAATGTTAAAAACTGTATAATTTAAATTTAATTACTTTTAGTATATGTGCTTTCTAGTGACAAATCTGTCATGTGAAGTGAACCTAAATGATGTTTCTTTGGGATAGTTTTTCTTCCATTTTTTTCTTGTTATTTGCTGCTGTCTCTTTCTTGAAAATTTACTTTGCTTGTCTACTTACATATAATGATACCTTCTAATGTTATGGATATTTGACTTTAAGACAACTGGTTCAAAACCAATTAAAACTTAACATCAGAGATGATACTGTAAAAGAAAGAAAGAAAATGAGAATTCTGGTATTTTTTGATAAATAATAGTTGATAGGTCATCACTTTTAATATTTTGTAGCAGAAAAGTTTGCATAAGTAGATTACATTGTCATGTGCTAGTTGCAACATAAAGCTATAGCTGTAGTATACAGGTGAACAGGGTTTATACTACTGTTTGGCAGACTCGCCTTGAAATGTTGTTTCACATTAACTGAGGCACTGATAAGCCAGTCTTGTCACTTGATTCCATGACATTCTGAGTCTGCTTTGGCCAGATTGTTAATTCCAAGGATGTTATAGACTATAGCTGACTCAAATGGGAAATAACTAATCAAACTATCAATTACATTTGTTGTTTTCATTTTTGTTTAGCATAGAATGGTAAGTTATGCAAAAATAACATATTTAATATTGCCAGTTTGAATTTCACAGGACATTTTGATTTTGTACACACTAGGAGAAAGGAGAAGGAAGTATAGAGAGCCAACGTTCATTTATATAATGTTGATGTAGTGTTTGTGCTTGTGTATTTCTGTGATTTGGTATTATACTGAAGGTGCCAATCTAAGGTTCTTAAATAGCTTGAAAATGTGAAAATTTGCAGCTTCATTGAACTGTGATTGGTATAGTAACCTTTGTTCCATTAAGTGCCACTGGTGTGCAGGTTTGCCGCAGAGTAGCCTCAAAAGGCTAATGAGTGCTTTGCATGGGTATGTAAATATGCTGTTATCAATAATCAGAGTCAAAGCACCATGCCTTTCTTTAAATGAGAAATTAAAAGAGATCATAGCCTTCATCATGATTTTAATATTTATGTACCAAAAATGAATTAAGAGCTTTATAATTGAAAACTGTTATCCAATGAAAGCCATAATTGCTGCTTTAGATGTATTGTAAAATGAGATAGATACTGATACACACAGCCAAACAAGCTTATTTAATTTGAAATCTAGTACCTCTCGCTCTATTTGTTCTGCTTTTTTTACATCCATGCACACAAAATGTATGATTCTCTGTATGTCATATATCTTTGTAAAACACTTCTGTGGTCATTTTAAAGTACTATTCTTGGTTGAACAGTGAGCAGAACTATAGTGTTAATTTATTCCATGGCATTCTAGGTTTTTTATTACTGTTTATAGTTGGCAAATACATTTTGATAAGCTATAGTTTTGTAGAAAATTGTAGCTTATGTATTTTATATGGCTCATTTTAAAGATACCCAATGTTTGGAATTTTTTTTCAAATGGGTCAGTGTCCCACCCAAATCCCACAGTGGTTAAATTTGAATCACTTAATCGTTGGAACAACTGATTATGGGAAGACTTAAAAACCGAGAACCATTACTGGAAAGTCTTTCCAATATTGTGATTAATAGACAAATCGATCAAAAGATGTTTGAGTTATACAAATTTAAGTTCAAATTTAAATTCAAAAACTTAAATTGTTGGACAATCTAAAAGCAAAGAAGAGCATTTGGAAGACGGTTTGGGAAAGGTCAAGGGGCTGAAAAAAAATCTGTATTAGGTCTGTGGGCTCCACTTTATTATTTGTTGAATCAAGGTGCCCTATGCTGTTTTAGCTAAGCAAATGTTTACCAGGACATACTGTCAATTGTATTTACATATTTATGCCAGCCTAAGGACATGTAAAAATGAAATGAAATACATTGGGAGTCTCCATTGTACGAGAGCCATTGTCCTTTTGTCCCAGGATGTTTTTTTCTGATTGGCAGCAGTTCTCAAGGGTCTCAAGCAGAGGTCTTTCCCATTAACCACACTCCAGCTGAATAAGATTTGCTAAGAATAGAATATGGAATCGTCTGCATGAATATACTTTGTGTAAAACATTTTAAGAAATAGCCAAGTTATATATTCGTTATTGTAATAAGGAGAGTTTCAGACTATCATTAGAAAATCATTGAGTCTGCATCGCAACATGATGCAGTGTGCCTGTTTTGTGAACAAGGGCAGATAATTTCAGTCATATTTGTTAACATTGAGTTATAGAAAGTTGTGCAGTTTGAAAATACATAGCAGAAACTGAATTGAAAGATTATAAATGAATTTGCTATATATTACTTTATGGACTTCTGGTTAACACAGAGCCACACTGACTGATATGATTTAATGTTTTACTCTAAGATGGAAACCAGATAGGAGCATTGTTTCATAGTAGAGAGTTGTTTGTACACAAGGTATCATTTTTAGCAATCTAAACAATGTACATCTTGCCCTGATTTATTCAATTCCATTTCCCAATGTCACCTATGATGTTTTTTTATGCTATATACACCCAACAATTTAAAACAAACATTGAAGTCATGTTGATTTATCAGTGTGTTTTGTCCAACCCAAAGTATCACTTTTGTATGTGCATGATGTCATATGTGGTGACAAGGTTACTGTGAGCATGCCCCTCTTTTTTGTAGCAGCTTGCTTTGTCCCCATATTTTGACATTATGATTTCCAGCAGCATAACAGGAATGGTATAATCCAATTTACTTCAGTGAATGAACACAAGGCAGCATATTGCTCAGAGCATTAAATCACATCATAGTTCAGAGCATCTGTGACCCTTGCCACCCCAAGACACTTAAAAGTACAGGACACAATGGAATAGAGAGGAAGAAATTGGCTTTCCAAATCAATGCATTCCATGTCATTTATAATTCCAGAATTTGTGAATCATGTGGTCAAGCAGGAGTTTTCTGGCTGAGAAGGGAAGGAGAGATAGTCAATCTCAGATGAGCCCCATCCTTCAAAATCTGAGGCAAAATAAAACTTCTTCCCAAAAAAGATCTGCCACCTCCCCCAATAGTATCAGTTTAACTTTCTTCTTCCACCAAAGAAGGAAAATGGAGGAAAAAAGAGCACTCAATTGTGTGATGTTCAATCACTCTCAACATTGCCACTCATTCAGCTAGTGCAGTCTTCCACTCTAAGGACAGATCTTCCACCTTTGTAGTGGAAGGAGCAAAAGCAAATATCTCCAGCTAGAACAGTGGTTCTTAACCTTGGGTCCCCAGATGTTTTTGGCCTTCAAATCCCAGAAATTCTAACAGCTGGTAAACTGGCAGGGATTTCTGGGAGTTGTAGGCCAAAAACATCTGGGGACCCTAGGTTGAGAACCACTGAGCTAGAAGTAAAGAAGTATATTGCTAATGGAAGCAGGTGGGGAGTTAGTTTCGTTGGTGTTTCCTATATTTCAGGGGTGAATGCAGTGTATTTTCTGAGTACCTCAGCAGCCTATCTGCATTCCTTCATGGTTCCACCTTGGCTAATTTCATAGACCCTTCACTGATAATTCAAACAAGGCCACAACCAATCAAGAATATCTGAGCAAAGATGACTGCCATCATCACAGGGACAGACCTCCTGTGGTAGGGAAATGTTCAGCTCCCTGCAGCTGAATTGTATTATCTATAAACTGAAGGTAGCCCAACAACAAAAGAACTTTACTTGGTTTTCCCTATACAGTATATAACAAGATATACATGCCGCTATGTCAGAGCCAGTGTAATATCTTATCTATGTATAGTTTAAAGATTTGGTTACAACTATCATAACACAAGCAGATGGCTCCATTTTCATTCATTTATCAATGTCATTATTTGATGGATGAGAATGCCATTCTCTTATTGTCCATGTAATGACAAGGATTCAGATAAGAGAATGATCTTGACTTGATTCTGTTTTCTGGCTATTTGTGGGGAGAGATGATATCCTTCTGTCCCTGAAACGTGGGAACCTTATACA